AAGTCAAAAATAAAAATAATGAAACAAAGAAATATTGCTTAAAAAAAAAAAAAAAAAAATCCTCCCCAGCCATCTTTGACAGTAAGGTTATCGTCCATCCAATGACTGTCAGCTGCAGCAGCTTTGTACAGGCTTTATGTAAATATATTCATATATTCCTTAGACGGCAAGGAGAGATACACATCACATTTTTGTACAATTATTCAAATTGAGTGATGACATGTGACCTCTTCATCGAAAAGTTGTAAGTACTGTAAAGGTCAGGACCTGTACTCGTTATATAAGTCTAGTCTTTAATGAGTATAGGTCCCTTTTCTGCAGGCAGACATCAATATGCCTCTCAGACGTGTGCATAAGACTGAAGAAAAGGAAAAAAACAGACATATGGAAGCTCCACAGACTCAACCAGAAGAAGCTGAAACATGAACCTAAAATATTTGTTTAAAGATAGAATTTTAAAAGAATTAAAATAAGCTTAAGGTCAGATAAGCAATTCGGGTCGATTTTTGAGCTCCACTTTGTTTTGTTTTTTTGTTGTTGAACCCCCCGCCCCGCTTTTCCACGTTTCACATTACAGGGGAGTCCCGAGCACTTGATCACAGGATTTGACCGAGCTCCTGCTGCAGAAATGGATGTCCTGTAGGGGGATAAACGCTACAGCTGACGTGTTCCTCTTCTCTTAAGTCTCTGCGCCTTCACCTTAAGGTGCTTCCTCCCGTGACAGGTATTCACATCCGTAATAAACAAAAACTGTTGTCGCTCTGCTGAATCAGAAGCAGGCAGTAAGCAGGTCTTACAGTTGTATGTATTGAAACAAAAAAGAAGAGAATTATGGCATTTTCTTCACATTTTTGATGCTTTTTTTTTTTTAAACATTTGATAAATTCAACAGAGGTCACATTAAAAAAGTGACGTCATTGAGTCAGAAGTCCCGCCAGTCAGTTTGCCACGGAGTCCTCTTTTTGCCTAAGAGCCCTTTCACCCCTCCGCCCTGCCGCAGGACTCTCCTGGGGGGACAGCGGGGGTCCGTGGTTAATCATGGCTTAGCTCTGGGATTAACTCTTTTAACTGGGTGAGAGAGGGTTATTGGGGTGCCCGGCCATCGGGGAAACCGTGTGACTCAAAGTGTGTACTTGTTGTGTTAGTGTACGTGCGCGTGGTTGAAGTAACACCAGAGGAAAATCCAGGGGAGGGAAAGCACAAAAATAAACCACAAACAAACAGCAGTATTTTCTTCCCCATAAGTGATATGATGGCTTCTAACAGAAGTATGCACACAAATTCTAAGTGTCAAAAAGTGTGTATATGTGTGTGTTTGTGACTGAAAATGTGCTTGTTTTTGTCTTTATGAAGACTTGACATTTGGCAATTAAATCTTGCCTCGAAGGCTTTTTCTTCCTTCTGGTTTTATTTTTGTGATATTTAGAAGCACTGGCAGAGAATAGTGGCAATCCTCCTGATGCAGGTTGCCAGATGGTGATGGTGCCTGTCGAATGACCAGGACTCCTATGTAGGGTTGCCATGTTCAGTGAAGGATGACCATTTGAAAGAGAAAAAAAACTAAAATACACCCCGCAGTGTAGAGGCAGGGGTGGGTAAATCCTTCAGTGGTGAGTTTCCATGTTGAAGTGATGCTAAGTAAATCCTTCGGTACCAGGTTGCCAGGTTGGAGGAGAGATGGATGAATGTCTGGGGTGATTACAGAGTACCCGTGCAGCTGGTTGAACCAAACATCCTGGCTTTTAGAAATTAAACTCCTTTGTTTGCATGTTGGAAGCTGGATCAAAGTTGAAGGTCCCTCCTTGAGTGGTGTCGGGGATCAAGCTGGGATCCTCATCAATCTTAAAAGGACAGATATTATAGTGAGATCACAGCAGAGACAAAACTAATGAAAATGTTGAGGCGTTAAATCACTGGTGGAAAACTTACATCATCTCCTGAAAAGTACTGATCAATAATCTCGAAGGCTAGTTTGTAGATATCCTCATTCTCGTGCTGCTGCAGATTTTCTATCTTCTCCAAACCTGAAAAAAAAAAGAAAAGAAATATAACTTTTCTTCTATTATTAACAACATTAACACTGGGAGCTGGCTACTACATAATATATTAAAAATAAAACAACTGAAGACAGCATCCTGAGGCATAATGTAAGCAAACCATCCACCAGATACAGACCTCCACACTCCTCTATGATCTCTGCAATGGTGCTGGCTTCGTCTCCTGCCATGATGAGGATATTCTTCAGGCCGTCCAGGACAACCTGCACCACCTGGGAGTCCTTCACAGACAGCAGGTTACAGAACGGAGGGATGACATTCTGCTCCACCAGGAACTCCACCTACACAAACCCACACATACACACCACATCCATACTTGATTACAACATAGGCACATGGGTTACAAGTGTGGAACACGTCCTTGACCTTCATATGTAAAACAAGTCAACATCCCCTAGTATCTTCCTAACAGTTCTGCTTGTTTAGAAAAAAAAATTTACACAATGAGGTATTTAAATTGTGGAATATTATATGAAATTGCATGCTGGGTAGGTTTTCTGCTGTTTAAATAAAAACATATATGTTGAATAAAAAAAACACTCGGTATAGCAGTAAATGAGGTGAAATAAGGTCCAGATTTCGTTGGTCCCAAAGCCCAGCTCACCTGGTCTTTCCTCCCACTGATGGTGAGGTTGCTGATGGCCCATGCTGCCTCCTTCTGAGTGCCAAAGTCACCCTGTAGAGAGACAGGCTGTCACTAAGATGTAGAAAAGACCTGCTATGTGCACAACAGCATAATGCCAAGGGACACAGAAAAATCTAGGACATGCTTTTGTTCAGTGTTCAAGTCATTTATCAAGAGTTGTGTTACTTCTCTGGCTACAAAAAAAAAAAAAGTGTTAATGCAACTGAATACAAACAATTAACGCCAACATTATGCTTTCCCAAATTTAGAGTCTGATACCATCTGTTGGGAAAGCTGAATATAAAGTATAGAGAACTTAAAGATTTAGGAGTTTCTTTCCTGTTCTTCCACCGTGCACAAACCTTAGCCAGTTGGTGGATAATCATAGGAATCAGTCCAGCATCGATCACAGCTTGGACCTGCTGTTGGTTCCCAGCTGTAATGTTGGACAGGAACCAGACTGCTTCCTGCAAACAGACCAATCCCAAATGGTCACAACAAATGGCACTATATCTTGCACACAGACATGGCTATTCTTCCACAATCCTGCATGTCTCTACCAGTACTTTACGGTTTCCCATTGGGCTAGTACACAGGGAATAGAAAAGAGGATTGCCCTTCAAAATTATTTTTGCACTTTACACTTGATTGTGCATATAATCTGGCTACAGCATCATAACCTTGAACAAGTTTGTTACAACAAAGGCCGATTGTGTCTACATTTTGAAAAAAAAAAAAACACCACAAAAATCAGTCAGATATATATCTATATATTTTCCATTAAGAACAAATGAACCTACAAACTTTACAATAACAAACCTGCTCCTGATATATTATACTTCCTGACAGTGAAACAGATAGCTCACATAAATGTCATGAACTTCACTGCAGCTTGCAATGCGCAGACAACTTACTCCGGGGTATGTCCATACTAAGCCATAAGAAAGCCCAAACTTAGAAAATAAAACGTACAAAAACAACAACATGAAGTTTGAGGCTGTGGTCACCTTGTTGATCTTTTCTTTAGGGTGAGTGAGCAGGTTGGGGAAGTGTGAGAGGACATCGCAGTTGAGCACAACCTGTGTCTGCTCATCTGTCCCTGTCACGATGTTACCCACTGCCCTCAGAGCTGCCGTCTAGAAAAGGAGGGCAATAAAAAGAAATGAAATGACTTTGCTTCTTTAATTCATTGAGGATGACATTTTGAAATGGTCATCTTACTGTGGACAATAGGCAAAGGTTAATTCAATCAATAAAACAAAGTCTCACCTGAACTTTGACCTCCTGATGGCTGAGGAGAGGCACAAGAAATGGAACGACTCCAGAATCAATTACCATTTGGATCTGCTCATTGCCCCCGTCCGTCAGATAAGACAGAGCCCACACTGTGTCTACTAGGATCTGAACACACAGAAACATCAAGCTGTGAGACCATGTACAGTAATTATGCTGTTAGAAAACTGGCATGCTGACAGCACAAAGCAAGTCATTTTTCAGTAAATCCAAAATGACAGGTCAGTCACCCTTCCCCCTCTGGTACTTACATTGATATCGGTGTGATATATTAGCACACAGAGGGCAGGCAAAATCTGTGGGGAACAAAAGTAGGTGGTGAGTGGGTTGGTTGTAGGCAGAGGAATAGATGGATCAGATGAAGGCAAAACAGGGCAGATTGAAAAGGCAAAAAAAAAAATAATAATAAAATCACAAAAGAGAAATAGCTGTCAAACCCAGACTTCAAATGTCGCAAAAGAGCTTTAGAGTCAGAAATTCCCCTGGGTGATGAGGCTGATTTGGCTTCTGAAAAGGCGCTGCCATAACTCTGTGTGACTCAGCCTGCAGTGAAACAGTCAACTGCAACACATCCATCTGTCTGGCACATGAAAGCATACACACACACACACGCACACGCGCAACACACACGCATACACACGCACACACACACACGCACACGCACGCACGCACGCACGCACGCACGCACGCGCACACACACGCACACACACACACAC